AAACATGAATAAATAACTGATGGAAATAGTAGCTATCCTTTCCGTCAACAATTTAAAATTGCAACTGATGAAAATGAATGTTCATTGAATGACAGATCTTTGGAAAATCATGTGCCACTAAGCTCATTGCATTTTGTGCAAGTTATCCCCAACTGATTTTCACAATACCGTCAATAACGCGGTAATGGAACCCTTAACCCCTCAAGATCGGGATTCATATACGTATATGGACCCAAGCAAAAACGCATGATTCTGTTCAAAACGGGATAATTCCAAAACTGTGATAAATAATCCAATTCCGCCAACGTCATTCGAAAGCTGGATAGTGTAGTTTAAATTTCGAATGCGTTTTACAATTTTTCATGCATCAGAATTTATCGAATCTCAGTGATATTAAGCGCACGTCAAGTTTCGTAACAGGAAGGCCCCGTACGCGAGGGTTAAGACGCGAGGCCCTGTTATGGAACCGTACTGTTTTCAATAACTTAGAAGTATTGTTGAGTGGATTTCTTGGGTTCAAAGAAAGTATACAGCCCACAGTTTCCATTTAACTTTGTTTATCGCAGTAAATATATGATCACTTGTAATACCACTAGAGCTTCAAAATTATCGGGTATTTTCCTATAGGTTCGTTTGTATGCAGGGAACCTTGAGGAAAATGCCCGATTAATTTTGAAGCTCGTGTGGTATTCGGGGGATTATTTTTCCAATCCAAATGTCGGGCAATATAATTGGACCATGAGACGAAACTCACAATTGAGAAACGAAAATTGTATAATTAACACTCATTTCGAATAAAAATCCTCGGATTACCACAATTGAATTCAATCTGTCAGTTTGACGAGGGGTTAATTCGACTGCATGATGTTTTGTTTTTTATATAGCAACTACCAGAGAAAATTATCAAAAAATTATCAGTTGAAAACCCTGTAGCTTGTACCACGTGATGTCGAATGGGCCAATTATATTTGATTACTGGTGCCGATTCCATAAACGGGTCACTGACGGTAATGCGCGTTCACATGGTAAGTCCCCACACTACTCAGAAAATTTAAGTGACGGTATCGTAATTTTTCACAGGAGATTCAGGTAAAAATTACGTGACAGTTCCGTAAAATTTCCTACAACCACATTTCACTCCGGAATTAAGGATAACATACGTCATTTTTATTGAATATTTCTCTCCGTGCACTCTATCGTTTCCAGTTTCCAGAATAATGAGTTCTTTTCATTGACAATGATCTAAAATCAGTGCTGCATTACTTTTTCAATCTTCAATTTGACAGTACCATATTTTTTCACACTATTGAAATTTTCCTTGACTCTAAATGTGCAGAACCTCAATTTCGAGTACAATATTGCTAAAAAATAAACATCTGACTAAAAATCTCAATTTCGCTTCCAAATGGAAGTTTGTAATCGTTGATTTCGAGGATCTTCTAATTTTGCCTGGAAATGACGTAGAGTGGCATGAAACGTGAAGATAAGCTGAAAAATGTTAAATTTTCGAAAATGTGTGTATATATGTCCGGATGTGTGTGAAAATTTTTCGGAAATGAATCTTCACAGAAAAATGACTAAAGTTCCGACGTACAGCGATTTCTCAAAAATCTTTTTTTCCTCAATAGCTCGAAAACTACGGGACTGAATGAAGAAATTCTTTTGACGTCTCAATACTCCTTTTGATAATATCCATTAAATCAAATCACAATATTGCTATGTAACTAGGAACGGTTTGGTAATAATCGGCATTTTTCGTTTTTATGAGAAACTCATTCTGCGCACGATAGGATGTTGAAATTTGGTGAGATTGTAGCTCTTATGATATTACAGAAGGGAATTGTGAGTATACGAAATCGGACAAGTGGTTTAGATGATATTCAACTTTTTGTGAAAAACTGTTTTGTTCAACATCTCTCAAACTACTGATCTCATTGATTATATTTTTTTCAAAATACTCGTCTTGTTATTGTTTATGGATTCAATATTCAATTTGGAATTGTGAACATATGGAATGCAACGAATGGATCATTCACATCTTCTCAGTTAACAATTTTGGGGGAAAATATAAGTTGAAATGTACATCAAGGTAGTAGTTGGGAAATGGCACTGTTGACAAATGTGAGATTTTCGTTACTGACTTAGAAAGTTATGCTGCGGTGTGGTAGTTAATTTTAAAGGATCGTAATTTTCCATTTAAATAGCTTTTGAATAGAAAAGGAAATTGAGTAGTAAATGGCAACAGATGAATTGCACGGTGAAAAAATTGACTATGCTCCGAAGTAATCCAATTTAGAAACTCTTCAAAATTAACTATACCACACATTATGTCCGACTTCCTACACGCAGTGACGCAATAGACATTTTTTAATGGAAATTCCTCCAGCCACGAAATACACTGTTGGAGAAAAATCAAACTTCATGGACAGTAGTGATACGTAACACATAGTAGTATTTTTCAGTAGAACAACATTGAATTTGGTTTAAGGGGGAAAAACTAAGATTCAACCATGCATCGACCCTGTACGTGAGGGGTTAATTTTGAATATTTTTCCCAATCGGATTTTGACCAATTAGAGCGCAGTATTTGAGGCTACCCGACAGTTTTATTTTGGATATTTCCTCCTAGCTTTTGAATATTTCGCAGTAGCTCTTCTTTTTTTTTACCTGAATATTTCGCAGCAGCTCTAAATTTTTTTAGCTCATTTCAGATAGAATCTTATATTTGACAGTCTATTGAAATCGGGTTATTCTATTAACATAATTTGTTCAAATCTTTCCTAATTCACCTCCTGATGTTGTCCACTGCACTCCGCTTGGCCAAAATCCGATTGGGAAAAATAATCCGACAAATACCCCTCGAGATTCAAAATTAATCGGGTATTTCCCTCAAGCTCCCCTGCAAACAAACCATCGTGCCAAGTTTTGCATAAAAATCCCTCGTGCAAGCGCTCGGGATTTTTTAACCTGCAAAACTTGACATCCTCATTTGTTTGCAATGAAGCTATTGGGAAATACCCGATAATTTTGAAGCTCTTGGGGTATTACTAAGGTAAATGTACCTATGCCCGTCTTTGTCCCTACGCTCGTTCAGATCCTGTCAGCTATGACATTTCAATCCTTTTGATAGTCCCAAGAGTCTATTAAGAGTGAAGTACGATTGGAGTTATTATTTTAGTCAATAAGAAAAGTTATAGACACCAATGCAGAGTGATTGATTGAATAATAAGAGAGAAAAATCACATTCACATCAACTCGTGCTACGACAAAGTTAATTCTTAAGCCACAAGTTAAGAAACTCACAATTTTAAAACTTTGATATCTCCGTTACACTAGTAAAATGGAATTAAAAATTCCTTGGCGAAGGTTTTGAATAGTTGAAAGTTTAATAAAAATGCATAAATTATAGTAATATCCGGATATTTCACTGAAATATTGCCAATTAAAAGAATAGGTACAATGAAAATGGCATTGATCCTACGCTCGTTTTGCACCCAACTGTCAACTGGTAACGGACTAAACGGATGAAAAAATCATTAAAAGGTTGGACTGTCCAATGGAAATATAATTTTGTGCATCGAGATATTTTTTAATGTTGTTTTATCACAAAATAGGATACTCACGATGTACTTAGTTCGGATATAACCTTTGCATATCACTCAAATCACGAGACGAGGATAGGGACATGTGTCAAACGAGCATGGGGACAAATAAACGAGCGTAGGGACATGGGACTGTTCATATTCATGGACGATTATTTATTAAAAAAATAGTAATTATCATAATTAATATAAATAAATTCCAATTCTGAAGGTTTTACCCTCTGATATGTAATTGAAATCATCGCAACTTCACCCTCATTTCGATAGAAATATTGGACTAATGATGTGTTCACCTTAGCTAGACGAGCGTAGGGTCATTTACCTTACTGAGAATTTTTCCATCCAAATGTTGGCCAAGAGAATTGCACTATGAGACAAAATCCATCTGTCAGTTCCAACGAGGGTCTCACTCAATCAGGAAATCTTTTGTTTTTCAAATATATATGAATATGAAAAATTACAGGTGGAATTGTCAGAAATTATCAGTTGAATACCATGTTCACTAAGAGAAAAATCGACATATCACTAAAATAATTTCTTGAGCAAGAATAGTTTGACAGAAGAAAAAGAAGATATTGCTTTTCTTCGAACTCAAAGCGATTGAGCGTAAGCGACGGTTATATTTTTTTAATATCTGTAAGTTTTCCTCTGCATAAACTCTCTATTCATTCAATATGAAAGTCTTTGATCCATGATTCACTAAATCGAAGCTTTTAATATTTTTAGTCATTTTCTCATCTTCTGACAAAAAAAACCTATTTCTTGTGGCAAGAAATTCTCACTTTATCATGAAATGTTCATGTTCAANTAAGTTTTCCTCTGCATAAACTCTCTATTCATTCAATATGAAAGTCTTTGATCCATGATTCACTAAATCGAAGCTTTTAATATTTTTAGTCATTTTCTCATCTTCTGACAAAAAAAACCTATTTCTTGTGGCAAGAAATTCTCACTTTATCATGAAATGTTCATGTTCAAGTCATGAACACTTCACCGAAATTTGACTTTGGCTGACACATTATCCGAAATTTTTGTCCCAAGAAATTTATTCTCAAGAGATGAGATATTTGGTGCAAGAAATTAGTTTTGTGATATTATGACAACATTTTTCTCAGTGTAGACTATATAAAATAACAGTCGAATAATGCAATTTTATTGGCTGAAATTTGGATGGGAAAAATTCTCGCAACAGTGTCTTCAACAGTGTCTTCCAACCTTTTCTCCTTGAATCACTGGATGAATGCATAATTATCATAATGTGACGTATTCGGTCGACAACTTGGCTACAGATTTTATGACAGAGCCTATCCCATTTGCATCGCCTAGATCGATCGATGAGTAGAAGAAAGAAGAGAGAATGTTCATGTGCTTATGGAAATGTTTTTTTTTTAATTGCAGGGCAATTGCACACGCCTACTGGCGACAACGACTGTGAAAAGGGATTCGAGACCCAGATATTGGACTCCAGAGCCTCTGACGAGCATCAGAGGCCAACGGTGTTAGCTTGCCCTGAACGTGGCTCAACAACCACTGCAATCACGACGACCTCCACGACGACCACGGGCACTGCCTTCACGGTCGCATCAAGTATGCTTCTGCTGCAGACACAGGTAATTTTTTTCAATCCTATTGCTGCTAGAAAGAATGAATACTTGAATGGAAATGTTCCGCCTAAAAATTAGGGATGGACATATGAAAATTCGTAAAATGTTTCTAACATCATTTTTTTTTTCTGTGTGCGTTATTGGGGTAATTTCATAATCGATAAAAATTTCATATCTTATGCCGTTTTTCCACTCCACTACTGAAGTCTGGAGAATTCGATAGTAAAGTAATTTAAAAGAAATTTGGAGAAATTTATCAGATTCTTCCCGTGAAGAAATAAAACTAATGCCTTTCAAAAAAGTCTTTTGACTTTCTCTCCTAGAATTAATCGTCTCAGATTAGGAGCATTCGGAGAGTCGATCAAACTATAATCTTTGACGTGAATCGCATCCTAACTATGGAATTATCCAACTAATGAGGAACGATAAGAGGAATCAACAGGATACTTTTTTTTAAAATTTTATGCAGCACAAAGAAAGATGCTTGAGATTTTTTTCCAACTCACTCGTTCCAAAGATATTCTCAAAATAAACTTTACAAAAGTTTTTTAACTTTTCTCCTCCTACCACTTTACTGAAAATTTTTATCAATTTTTCGTGATCAACGATGAGAAGGAATCGTAGAGGGACCTTTTTTATACAGAATTGTATGGGGCCCAAGAAAAGATTCTCAACATATTTCTCTCAAACCCACTCGTTTCAAAGATAATTCCAAAATAAAATTTACGAAATCTCCTTCAATTATCATTTCTCAGTCTTTCGCTAAATTTCATAACTTTGTATTTTTTCCCCGGGAAAATCAATGTAATAATTAATTTTCACTGGACTCATCGTTATAAAATTACACCCCGTAAATTATGTCGATTCCCTCATAAAGTGCTACTAATTTTCGAAAGGAAGAAAGTAACACGAAGAATCAGAAGAAAAATTTGATGGTGACATAACAACAGGTGTAGAGTTTAATGACAGTGAAAATGTGTCTCAAGAGGGCGATGAGCTTAAATGTCAGGGAAAGAATGAATTTTATGACTCCATCTCATCACTCTAATCCCAATTTATGAAGCAACGTTCTGTTTTTATTATCTTTAAAGAGCCCATTCGGATGTAGCAGTTTTGCGGACCTCCTAAGTGCCCCTTACACAGATCCCACGGATGCAGCGAATCTGCCCGAGGAGCTCGACCCCTTCCCCGAGCTACAGCTTGGAAATCCCCAGAACGTTTCCGAAGACGTCCCCATGCATCAGCAGATGCAACATCACAGGCCGTTACCTGGCGATGTCCATACAGACTCACTCAGGTGAATATCATAATCACATCAAACTTATCAATCACCTAACATAAATCAGTAAATTACTAGTGGAGAGTGGGGCAAAATGAAACATGAGGCAAATAAAACTGTCGATAAACGTCTGTTTGACGCAATTCAATTAAAGCAATTTTTTTTATTAAGGTCCGGGTGGATTATCTTTCTCTCTTATCTTTTTGAGAAGTACGATTTTACTTATATCAAGAAACTCACAAAAATATCTTGCACTAAGAAAAAAAGAAACTTTCGTCAAGAAATTTTGTACTTGTCCTAAAGACGAGAACAATTTCTTGATGACAAGAAAGCGATTTCTCAAACCAAGTAAAATTGAATTGATTCATTTAATAGTTTTTAGCCTTAATTCAAAAATATTTTAATGCAAAAAGCCCTTGACTTGATTTGAAAACTCGTTTTCTTGATATGAGCCAATAGCCCTCATCTTTCGGATAAGTATAAAATTTCTTGGCGTTAGATTTATTTTCTTAGTGTGAGATTTTGTGCGCTTGATAATTTTCGAGCCATGAATTTCTTTGTACAAGTAAAGATGTACTTCTCAAAAAACTCTTGTCTTCTCAGTGTGATCTTGGTTGTTTTTTTTATTTTGATAACCTGAAATGGTCTCCAATTGCTATTAACGCTGGAGTCTCTAAATCTACGATTGTACAATCATAAAAACGTTGAAAAAAAGCTGAACATTTTCAAAGAGCCTTTTTGAATAATATTGGGGAATAAAGCCAATAGGAGGGAAATTGCAAATTAATATAGTCAGGCTAAAATTTCTTTTCCATCTGAACAATTGTATTTCCATTGTTTTCATTGAGAAATCAACATTTCGACAATGGAAACCACGGAAACCTGCGGCCTGAAATTAAGTTTCTGAAGGAAAAGAAGATTTAGTTGGACTATAATTTGATGTATCTAATGGCTGTTAGATCGTTAGTTACCATGATAAATTATCCATTCAATATTTCCTCTTTATCGAACTTATTTCTTAATCTTTATTAAAAACGCTCTTTGGCAATGTTCAGTTTTTTAAAACTCTTTTTAATTGTACAATCATAATTTTTAGGGACTTCTGCGTGATGTAAAATCCAATGGAAATTGTGATATGTTATACATTATGAAGATGGAAAAACAATTGAGATAACGTTCGAAAGATAATCCACCCGGGCCTTAAATTGCAAATAAATGAAATGAAAAATGAAGAGAGATTCGATGGTATATTATTTTTGGAGTAGATTATGATCAATTTCTTGATTATTCTACAGTCCTACCCCCTTGCCGAGCTTTCAAGAGACCTACACAGTTCATCAGCGTTATACTCGTCAAGAACTACAGAGTCTTGGTATAAAAATGGACGACGAGTGTTTCGATGCACTGCAGTACGCCTGCAACGATCCAACCTACACCGGTGAATTCTCCACGACTGTACCATATCACCACCCCCAACAGCATCATTACCACCATCATCAACGTCACGAGCATCATCATAACGTAAATAATGAGAATATTTATGTAGCCAAGTGGTGATGACTGGATGAAGAGTCAAACAAAATTCGAAGCAAAATTTTCCACTTGAAAAGTCTTCACTTCTTTCGTTATATCCACTATACAGAGGAAAAAATGTAGGTTCGCGTAAAAAGTCTCTGAATTTCAGAATTCTATTGTATTTTCTGAAATCTTGCGAACAAAAAATCCGGGAAAGAATTGAAGTTTCCCTTAAAAATCAACGAAAAAAGGACAAATTCTCAGTCATTTCCACTTGAATTTAGTATAATTGTACGTCAATTAAGGCACATTTTTTTGCTTATTTTAAGAAAATCTCAGTTTTAGAATTGATAAGTTCTGGGTTCTCAAGTTAAGAACATTCTCGTTTCTGAATTGAATATTTTTTTTTTTTCAAGTAATCTGCTCATGGTTATAAATCCTTTCTTATTCAAAGCATTTTAGTTAGGGATGTAACGGACAAAACTGACCGGTCAATTTACTGTGTTACTTCGAAATTCGGTCCCCACAACGCTCCAAATTTTAGTAAGAGATAGCCTGCTTTGGGCACCATATGGTTGAGAGAGTTCTTTAATTACTTTAAAAGAAAAAAAATTTACGAAATCATTTTGCCAATGAAAAATTTTATACGACTTTTTACTATAATTGAACTTTGTAGATTCTATGATAATAATAAATAAAAAAGTTCTACGAAATTTTCTAATTTTTTGGAAATTCCATACTAAGGTAATATTCACTAAATTTTCGATTTCCGTTTCGACGTTATTAATAATTTTAATTCAAATTTCTCAAAAAATTAATAAAAACAATTAAAAAAGAAAAGACCGAGCACAAAAGGTAGGGCCAGGTTACATTTAGATGGACGATTTTTAAGCATAAATGACAACGAGCAAAATTACTGACGATTGGGTAACTTGACCGGTCAGTTTGCATCCCGAGGTATGCGTTAAGTCAGAAATGGACAGAAAACGGTAAATTCACAACTGACTTGACGCATGTAAAAAATTACTGTTATTTTGCATCCCTAGTCCGAGTAACCCAATATGGTCGCCATACCAATCAAGAAGCTTTTAATTTAATTGTTTGCAATTATCTGCCCGCAAACTTATGTTTTTAAATGTCGCAAGAAAAATCTAAAGAGTATAATGAACAAAGTCATATACGGTTATGCGTACGAGAAAACGCTTCAAGCCTATGAACTATTGGATTAAGGTGGGAGTAAACCGCTCTTATGAACGCAATGTGTTAAATTTCATTTTTTCAAAAATCATTTTCTCGAAAAAAATGTTCAGAAACTAAAATTGATATTGCGCCTAAAAAATACTCTTAATCTATTCTGTAAACTCTGAAGAGGATTTCCTCCAGAAAAAATTGCCCGAATCGATATCCTTCAGAATGCGAAGGTTCTTAATTCAAGACGTTTCGCATTTGAAAAAAGTCGAATTTTGAAATTTAGGGATTTTTGTTCCGAAATCAATCAACCAGTTTCTCATTCTCAGTACAATACCCTCTCGAACCACGAGTTTCTCAGACTCAGTAACTTTGTACTCAAACCGAGAAACTTTTTTTTTCCGCGTAGCTTCGTCGATATACTAAAGATAATAGATTAATTAGTTCCGGACGCTTTGGATTACTAGGTAATAACGACTTGCTATGATAATGAGGATGATTTGTTTCCAAAATAGATACCAACAACGCTGACGCCCCCGCCAGCCTCAGCTAATCTACCCGGTTCACCACCCCCAGCTTCTTCACCACCACAACCACCTCCTCCACCGCCACCACCACCACCTGGCTATTTCTCGACAATATCGACGTCCAATCCTGCTGTTACGTTACCACAGAGCACGGTACTTCATCAACGGGACATGTACTCGAGTGTACCAATGGCAACTGCCTATGGGCAGCCACCAAGTCTCGTGGGTCCACAATCTGCTCCAAGTCTCGGGAGTAACAATGTCATACGGTCACGGGCACCAATGCTGCAGAGATCTGATTCTACTAGGTATGAACAATATAATTTTTGCGAAATTTGTCAGAAAGTAAATTTTGTTAATTTACTTTCTGTATTATCCCCGGACTATCGGGGTTATTCAATCAACTTTAGATGTTTTTATTCTACTTTAGATTGAATAAACAGCCCTGAAGAAGAATGCTTATAGCATTCGAAATGTAGACGACAAATTGTAGATTTTTTGTGTTAAATTTCTTTGTTCTTTTAAAATCGTTATACAGTCGAGCACTAAAGTTCGTGAACAGCTTGAACTTGCATTCTATGTATTCTGTTTACGAACTTTAGTGCTCGACTGTACGTTGACTGTATATTGGCTGGAAGGAGTTTTTTTTAAAGAATTAATGATAAAAACGGTTGGATAAATAATGGAAAATTAGAAAGTGTTTTATTTAAACATACGAAAGTTTTGAAATTGTGCGTAAAATTCCACTTTACGCACAAGTGATGAATAGTATATTCCCCGTCGAGTCGGCACGCCGAACCGAAGGCGAGGCGTGCCAATCACACGAGTCGAAAACCCCTGTGGTACTAGGCGCGAACGATATTTTTCCATAGTGACTTTCACTTTTGCCAGTTCGGGGAAGGGCAATACCAATGCCCGGACTGGAAAAGGTGAAGGTCAGTACGGAAAAACACTTTTTATGCACTCATATCGAAATATACAATTTGTTCGAATTTCCTACTCAAGATTTTTTAATCTTAACAATTTTCAACTCGTGGTTTTCAAGACTTATTCGAGACATGCTTTTTCCTCGCTCAGTGCTCGTTATTCACTTTGCTATTACAAATGAACTTCAACGCGGAGGAAAAAACCTCAAATAGTAGACGGTTTGAAGAATAAAAAAATTGCTCGGAAAAGATCTGTTGTAAAATTACTCAATATTGAGAATTAGGTATTCAAAGGGATATTTAGGATTGAGTTAAACAGTTACGTTTCAACACTTGATAACTGTGTTAAACAGCTGTAATTCAACGGGACGGAAGAAGCCACTCCTATAAAATTTAGATATTTTTTTTCACGTCCTAATCTTGGGGAAATATGTTGAAGGTTTTTATTGTTTTACTGCGCACGACTTTTCTGTGAAAGAACTAAAGAATTTCTTCAGACTGGATACACTAGTGCAATTTTTATACATTAGTTTCCGAAATCTGTGAAAATGCTTTCAAATATTTCGTCACGAGAGGAAATAAGTTTCTAATGGTATGAGAAATTGTATATTCACGAGGTGAAAATAAAAATATTCTACACTGTCGAAAGAGAATTTCCGGTATTTTATGGTATCAATGTCTCAGTGAGCGATATCAAACGAGGTGAATGAAGAACATTCATTTATTTCCAAAAAAGGCTCCTGATAATTCAGGGAGTCGGTAAATTTTTCAACTTTTATAAAAATAACCATGTTAAATCCTTCAAAAAACTGAAGTCTTCTTGCAATTCTGTGAAATTACTGGAAAGCTCCATTGATTTTCTGAAAAAAGGAACACTCTGAATTTTTTAACATGGATCTGTTCTTTTCTGGAAAAATCAATATTCACCTGAAATTTGTGTCGCGGTAAAAGAAAATGAATTTCGATTTTTTCTCCAATTTCTTTGTGTCAAATTAAAAGTATATTTTTTTTCTATGTAATTGCCACACTATTAAAAATTTTCCTCGTTATTTTCCGTGCCAAATTCTGGAAGTTTTTATCGTGTTCAAGTTCCACTAAAATTTCAGGAAATCTTGTCATTGAAAAATAATATATTCCATTTCAAACGATCTGGAAATCAATAAAATACTTGATTTTTCAGTTCAATTATTCTGTGAAAATTCCGGGAAAAATTGAAAATTAATGGCATTTTGTTTCGGAATATTCATGTTCCACTGAAAACTCATAAATTTCCGTGAATTCTGCTTAAAATTTGGAATTTCATAACCATTTTTTTCCTAAATTCGATTCAATGTCACTCTTATGAGATTTACTAAAATATCTTCCGTAAAATTTCAAAAAATTTCTAACAGTGCAGCTATTTTCAAATTAAGGCCCGGGTGTACTATCTTTTGAACGTTATCTCGATGGTTTTTCATCTTTCGTCATCTGAAATTGTCAATTGAGTCCTGCATCATGCAGAAGTTTTGAAAAATTATGAATGAATAATAAAAAAAAAGTAGAAAAAATTCTTAATTTTTTCAAAGAGCATTTTTAATTTATATTCAGAATAAGTTGAATAACAAGAAATTGAAAAATGTATCTGATTTAGGGTGACAAATGGCAGCCTGTCACCCAATATCATGCAGGGGGAAGACTGATTTCGTAAATCTTTTCCCACATTACACAGAGACATTTATTACGGAAAAGGCTCTTTGAAAAAAATTGTAATATTTTGGAAAAATTTTTAATCACACTTTTATCACAAAAATGGCAGATGACTACATACCACTGTTTTGAAAATTGAGATACCTAGTTGTCACTTCCCATGAGGAGTTAGTGTTTTGTTATCCACCATGGAAAATGACTGCTAATAGATAATTTGCCACAGCGAATCAGATATTTGTAAGTTCCACTTTTTTCAGCTCATCCTGAATCTCAATTAAAAACGCTCTTTGAAAAAGTTCAGAATTTTTTCTTTTTTTTCCCATCATTCTATTATAATTTTTGGGAATTTCTACATGATGTACCACTCAATTGACAATTTTGGATTACGAAAGGTAAAAGAAATCCAGATAACGTTCGAAAGATAGTACACCCGGACCTTAACTCTCGAAATCATGCAGCAGTATGTATGAATTGAAATGATTACACCTGAAAAAGAAATCTGAGTTTTTCATTTTCATTGCGTATTTCACATTCATAATAAGCTGAATTAAAGGCTCCGGAATTGCACTTCTAAAAAATAAATCTCGATAATCCGAATTTCCCCAATAAACTCCCATCAATGAAAACGCTTCAACGAACTTTCGAAGTTCTAGAGATTCAATTTCGATTTTCGTTGTTCGAGTAGCAGTGGCAGCAATCAGGAATCTCCGAAGCCTCGAAGGAGCGGCTCGAGTGGAAATCTCACTTCCATACCGTCCCCGGGAGGCACTGATCGCGCTCCGCAAAGTCCCAGTCAACTCTGCGCTGTTTGCGGAGATACCGCTGCCTGTCAACACTACGGTGTGAGGACCTGTGAAGGGTGCAAGGGCTTCTTCAAGAGGACAGTGCAGAAGGGCTCCAAATACGTCTGCCTAGCTGAGAGAGCTTGTCCTGTGGATAAACGACGGCGCAATCGATGCCAATTTTGTCGATTCCAAAAGTGTCTCAAAGTCGGCATGGTTAAAGAGGTAAAATATGAATAATTTCTATTTGAATAAAACAAGAATTGAGTGGAAAAAAAAACAATCTTTTAATTGTTTTTTATTTTTAATCCGAATTCTGGTTTTCAACGAGTAAATTTGATTTTATACTCTTTTCAATATCTTCGGAAGTAGTGGACTTCGATAAAAATGTCAGAACTTGATGATTCAAAACAAGTGGGAAATTGGTTTTCGTTACAAGATAGTCGATATATTTCTATTGGTAAACTAGCAATTTGCTTTCGAAAGGAATTTCTATGAAGATGTATTTTAAATTGAATCACATGAAGTCAAACTTCAACAAAAATGAGAATTTGTTGTGGTTCATTCCTAACGAAAACCTGGGAATTTTTGAAGTAGAAAATCAGATAGTCTTGACGGTCAACCACCCCTTATGAATATTGAAGGTTTTTTTTATTAAAAATGTTAATGATTAAGGATATCCAAGTACTTTGGCTATTTTTTCTCCAGTGAAATGCTTCTACACTTTTGTAGTCGAACATCAGCGCTTTCATTTGAGCCCCATTTGACCCTAAGTTTCCGGACATTTTACGATGATTTTATTATTTAAACTTTGCAGATCTGAATTTGAATCTCGATATTAAACCGTTAGAAAACATTTTAAAAATCTGAAAAAAAATTATAAAATTAACTTATAGAACAAGTTTGTTGAAATCATCTAAAAATTGCAGTTTTTTAAAATTACGAGTAATTTCTTTTATTTTTTATTTTTTAATAATCCCTATATAGCCGATTAGGCTTTTTACATACGAGCATTTTTTCTTTAAAAAAATTGGAAAGAAGCAATGTTTAGAAACAATCAGTTTCCGAAAGTTTAAACACTTTCAATTATTTATTTATAAACAACGATTGTTTAAAAAATAATAATTCTGTGCAAAATCTCATTTGAATGACACTGCATATTCATGATTTTTTTCAAATTTTCCTCTCGAAATTTGATTGACAAATGGTTGGAAATCGTTGAATCTATAGTTTGGCCTGCCCCAAACTGTAAAAGATACTTAGATATCCTCAAGAGTCAAATTATCGTCAGCATCGAACGAGTTACAGCAGAGTTGCCACCGTCAAGACCATTTGACCTCAACTAAAACGAAAAAAAATTACTGAATTGCGCTAATAATCGTATTTTTTGGTGTTCCATTTTACCCGTCTTCTCTCTCTGACAAAAAAACTTGTTCAATTCACTAATAAATTATTTCATTCATTCTCCAAACTAAATCGGTTGATCAAAAAATTGTCCCAAAGTTAAAAAAAAAAAGAAAATTCTTTTATGATTCTCCTCTTTAATTAATTAATAATCAATCTTTACTCGTGATTTTTTATTAATAGGTCGTCCGAACAGATTCGCTAAAAGGTCGTCGAGGTAGACTACCGTCCAAGCCAAAATCCCCCCAAGAATCTCCACCAAGTCCGCCCATATCCCTGATAACTGCCTTAGTCCGAGCGCACGTTGACACAACCCCTGACTTAGCAAATCTGGACTACTCTCAGTACCGCGAGCCCGGGCTCAACGATGTACCCGTCACCGAGGCGGAAAAAATTCAACAATTTTACAATCTCCTGATGACTTCAGTCGATGTGATCCGTAATTTTGCGGATAAAATTCCTGGCTTCACTGATCTGACTAAGGAGGATCAAGAATTACTCTTCCAATCAGCGAGTCTCGAGCTCTTTGTACTGAGGCTGGCTTATCGTACCAGAGCCGATGATGCACGATTAACCTTCTGCAATGGAGTTGTACTGACCCGTGCTCAGTGTCAAAGAAGCTTTGGGGATTGGTTGCACGGAATTCTGGAATTCTGTCAGGCACTTCATACCCTCGATGTGGACATCAGTGCATTTGCCTGTCTCTGTGCTATCACTCTCATAACAGGTAAATCGTTTTTTATTCTTTAATAAATGATGGAATTCGCAAATGGGGAGAAAATCGGTGCACTCAAGGAATCATCATAAATCCAATAATTCATTGTTCATTATAATGATGCGTGTTTCTGATGAATTTTCTATTCTTTCATAAAATCATTAAAAGATTCCCTGACTTTTTCTTCATTGATTCTATAGTTTTTACTCTTATTTATACTTATCATTAATTAGAGGATTATCAAAGTGCTAAAAAAAAGATTTGCAAATCCAAAAAAATTCTTATGCCCTTTCTGTGAATAGAAGATACTCGAATTCTCAAATTAAGATTTTTTAAATTGAGCCTGTTTCTCTATTGGAGTCGCCAAATACCGTTGAGGACGCTGTTTTTCGTCAATATGGTCGCTCTAAGGCGCTCACATACGCGCCTACGCAAACCCAAAATTTGGTTGTTTGTGTGAGTGAGTGCCCGTGCGCCTTAGATCCTAGGTGGCGTTTTCTTATTTAGCGAGCCCAATTACAGTCCATGTTAGCTCTCTGAAATTGGGATTCCCCGTACTATATATTTGAAAAGTTAGGTTACTAGGGGAATCTGACAACTCCTAATGATCGCAATTTTTCACCAAAATAATTCTATTCTATATTTTACCCCGTATTTTCATAAATGTTCCAGATTTTTGTCGCAATTTTTTTATTGAGCTAGAATTTTCCTCGATATTTTGCATGAAAACGCATGTTATTTCGTTTTTCAATTTCTCGTGAACGAGGTTGTCAATCAGTATGAAACTTTCACAATTTTTTTCGAACATCAAATCTACGCAGATTATGTTTCTTTATATTTTTCTTACTAGCTATTGATCACGTGATATAAAATCAGCCCTAACAAAAGCAGATATGGTTTTTCTAGCCATCGAATCCCACAATTTGTAATTTCTCGTCGAAGTATCTAATTCTCCATACCATTCACTATTCTTACAAACAATTCTTTAAAACAATTTTGATTTCTCCAAACATCACACAAAAAATAGAATCAGTGTTCTGAATCGCCACTACATGCCAACTCATTCATTCCCCCCAGGAACTCATAAGTAATAAATCCCATTAAATTTCGACAATTGACTTCCATGAAATGACATGGGATCTTAGTTTCACCCATGTTTTTCTATTTTTTAAAATTTTCTTTATAAGATATCTATTGCTTCTTTTTATCTATGTTACTTCCCCTTTGCAAAGGGACTATGTCCTAAAAGCAATTAATAAGAAAAAATAAATAAAAATAAAGGAGTTTCCTCGGACAGATTTCAAATGTTTCACGGAGACAAAAGTTCAATGAAAAGTACTAGAAAATCATGGCAAATTTTACTATACGAAATTTAATTTTAATCGTGGAGCGTAATTGTAGTTCAATAAAAAATACCTTTTGTGGAGGATATCCTACTATCCGTTTCAATTTTTTTAAAACGCATCTGTGGATGTAAATAATACCGTTCCTTGTACAGCGAAATTTCCCAAACTTTTTTTCCCAATTTTCTTTTTCGGGCTCCGATGTGAAGGACATGAGGACGCACTTATGTGAATGGTTGCGCAATATTGAGCATTCATATTCATGGAATAATTTTTGATGATTGGTAAATTTTACAGTTTTAACCTAAAAGTAAATGTTCTTAATTCACCAAAGAAAAATTTACTATTTTCTCGTATTTTTTGCTCCGATATGGGGTGAAAAAAAACCTAGAAATAGATTCCGCTCCACGATTACATGACTTGTTTGGTAATTTTTCTCCAACTTTCTTCTCCGTGTTGTTTCGTCCGATCTGTCTCAGGTGGGAATTCATATTTGCTCCTCATATGAAACGCATTCGAACAAATACAAACGTAGCAAATATCTGAAATCTGTCCCAGCCACAGATCCTTCATATTTTTTGGAAGATCCCCGTTCGACAAAGAACATGAGCGAGACAAAGTTCCCATTAAATTCCACTTATTCCACCATTAAATTCAATTCTTCCCTCCTCCCAATTGAACAATCGAACATCCTCTCGCAATTAACTATTGACAGCATCGCCTGTTTCCGTTGGCTCCTCAGCTCTCTCCCCAGAACATCAAATTCATTAATCCACTCGTCCCCATTCTTCCCCTTCACCGGTCGCACATCGTTAAATTTAAAAACCCAGCATCCGGTGGACTAAATAATTACTAAAATCCCCGAATTTATTGTCTTTTGCAGTGAGGCATGGTCTGAAAGAGCCCCACCGTGTTGAGCAGCTGCAGTCGAAAATAATATCATCCCTCCGCGACCACGTGACCTACAATGCCGAGGCCCAGCGAAAGACAAACTATTTATCACGACTCCTCGGTAAATTACCAGAACTCAGAAGTCTATCTATCCAGGGTCATCAGCGAATATTCTACCTGAAAGTTGAGGATCTTGTACCTGCGCCGCCCCTCATCGAGACTATGTTTGTCGGTACTTTGCCATTTTAAAATGGATCCATAATGAATTTAATGTAATTATCACCCGCCATTTTGATTTATTTTCATCCAACCGAGACCTCGAAAGCGTTAGCATTCGCACAGATCTTTCTTTCTTGAATAAAGGACACATTTTCCAAGACATGAAATGTTTTCATTGGAAAGGCGAAGAAATTGGAAGAAATTATTTTTTAATTCTCTTGCCTTTTCAATGACACCATTTGCAATTTTTCCAGTGAAATGTCCTCGAATTAAAAAACTTGTTCTTGAATTAAGAGCGATGTTAAAAATTCTGTAATAATGTTCTCAATTTAAGCAACAGAACTGTTCATCTGACGAAATTCTCCCTAATTCAAGAAAAAAAATTCTCTGAGCACTAATGAATGAAGATGATGAAAAAATCAATATCGTGGGGACTCTTTCAACATATCAGGACAGAACGAAGGGAGTCTAAAGGTTACCTCAAAGATGAATTTCATTTCCCTTTGATGTTTATAAACTACTCACAACGAGGCACGTTTTTATTGCCACTAAATGATTAACAAAATGATAATTATTCGTGAAATTTCGCGAACCCTTCGTACCAGTCCTCATATTTACATATATGTGATTTTAGTATTTTAAGAGAAATAAAATTAAACGACGTCGTACTCGAAAGTGATGTGCACTCCAGGGTTAATGATTATTAGATAGTTTTTAAAGGATAAAAGAAAGAGAATGAATTACTATGATATGATTTAGTCGATTTGAACTATTTTAAAGTAATTGTATAAAGACATACCTTGATAGTAAGAAAATACGTAAATTTTCATTTTTATTATTAGCGACGACGATGCCGTGGCATAAAGTTACCTATTACGTTACGACAAATTAATTTTAATCAAACTAACTTAGAAAATGAAAATGAATAAATAAGTGACATTTCTATTTATACGTAATTTTACGCTATTTTACCATTCAAACACTGTTTATCTATTGCCGCTGTTTTCACTTACTGTCTTCACTCCTCCAATTTACAAATGTTAAAATATTCTTATCTATTTTATGCCCTTCCTCCCCCCCCCCCCTTTATCTGTCGGTCCTAATTTTGCAATTTGCATAATGAAATTANAGACCTCGAAAGCGTTAGCATTCGCACAGATCTTTCTTTCTTGAATAAAGGACACATTTTCCAAGACATGAAATGTTTTCATTGGAAAGGCGAAGAAATTGGAAGAAATTATTTTTTAATTCTCTTGCCTTTTCAATGACACCATTTGCAATTTTTCCAGTGAAATGTCCTCGAATTAAAAAACTTGTTCTTGAATTAAGAGCGATGTTAAAAATTCTGTAATAATGTTCTCAATTTAAGCAACAGAACTGTTCATCTGACGAAATTCTCCCTAATTCAAGAAAAAAAATTCTCTGAGCACTAATGAATGAAGATGATGAAAAAATCAATATCGTGGGGACTCTTTCAACATATCAGGACAGAACGAAGGGAGTCTAAAGGTTACCTCAAAGATGAATTTCATTTCCCTTTGATGTTTATAAACTACTCACAACGAGGCACGTTTTTATTGCCACTAAATGATTAACAAAATGATAATTATTCGTGAAATTTCGCGAACCCTTCGTACCAGTCCTCATATTTACATATATGTGATTTTAGTATTTTAAGAGAAATAAAATTAAACGACGTCGTACTCGAAAGTGATGTGCACTCCAGGGTTAATGATTATTAGATAGTTTTTAAAGGATAAAAGAAAGAGAATGAATTACTATGATATGATTTAGTCGATTTGAACTATTTTAAAGTAATTGTATAAAGACATACCTTGATAGTAAGAAAATACGTAAATTTTCATTTTTATTATTAGCGACGACGATGCCGTGGCATAAAGTTACCTATTACGTTACGACAAATTAATTTTAATCAAACTAACTTAGAAAATGAAAATGAATAAATAAGTGACATTTCTATTTATACGTAATTTTACGCTATTTTACCATTCAAACACTGTTTATCTATTGCCGCTGTTTTCACTTACTGTCTTCACTCCTCCAATTTACAAATGTTAAAATATTCTTATCTATTTTATGCCCTTCCCCCCCCCCCCCCCTTTATCTGTCGGTCCTAATTTTGCAATTTGCATAATGAAATTATTCACTTTTTCAACTACATATTTACAATTTTCGTAAATAATAGTAAAAAGATTAAGAAAATAATTATATCGAGATGTTGAATTCTCTTAATCGTGCCTCCTCCCTAGAAATTACTGTACGATTTAAGATATTTCGAGAGAAAAATTTACATGTTGTGTGTTTCTATTTGTTTCTACTCATTTTTTTGACGTCATTAAACGGTACAAAAGACAGTTGGATGATTATTCAAGCATCGCTCCCTGGATTAATTCCCTTCAAGAGCACAAATGAATTTCTTTATTGATTTATTGTCAATTCCCAAAAAATGCACAAACTGTTTTCACTGTAAAATCTCAAGAATTATGTAAATTAAATACAAATAATTGTTGTATCACTTAGGGTTTCACGAGTCATTTATAAAAGAAGAATAGATAATTATGATTTTTGAAATAATTATTTTGATGGTTGTTTTCGATTTTGAATCACGCTATCCCACCACCTAATCGTACAACGTAGGTAGACGAAGTTTTTTCTTAAAAAATGATATGAAAAATGATGAAAAAAAACATGATAGAGTTGACTTTACACGAATTTGTTACTTGTATTATACTGTATGAGTTACGAAGAGTTTTATGCATTCAATCGCCAATGGCCTCAAAGAGTATATTAAAAAATTGAAAGAAAAAAAAGAGAAAAAAAATCCTCGATTTACATAAAAATCAATTATTATTTTTTAATAGCGATTGGCCAGTACTGAATGAATGTGCGCATTTACCGTGGAAATCGATGAGATTTTAAGAATATGAATGTATTTTTAGAGAAAAGGGAATGGGAGGCAATGCCCCTGAGCACTGAGAAAAAAAAACTTTTGCATAACTATTTAATTGTGAAAAAGGAAGAGATATTAAATTTATTGTGGGACAAATTTCTATTATTTTATTATTGCTATTGTATACCTGACAATTTCGCACACGCGTGAAAGAAGATCCTTCAATAAACACAGTGACGATTCATCCTGTTGCGACCTGATAAGAACATTACTTAATTATCGATTAAAGTTAAATAATGACTAATGTTACCACTTTAATATACGTAACGGTTGAGGAATGAGGAGATTAGATTTTAAAGGAAGATGGAAGTGATGGAATGACATTGGTAGGGAAGTGGTAAAACATAATTATTCAATTATCTCCATGACGAGTGAGTGTCTTAGGAGGAACTGTCAGAAGATTTATTCTATGCGAAATTGACTTGACTTTAGAAAAAGTTTCTTGACATTTTCGATGAAAATCATTCATGCTGAAAATAAATCTATAATAATAAACGAGGATTATTGGATTTCGATCGTCTGTTGCAGAAACTATTCTGAATTTTCATCAGCAATAAATGACTTTCTTTTTATTACTACAATAATCGGTGCTATTGAATCGACTTTTGTGATTGTTTCCAAAATTTTCTAAGATTTTTAAGCAATTAAAAAATTGTAACCATCTGGTACTGTCTTTTTTTATTGACAAAATATTGTTAACAATGAACTGATGCCCCAAACAATTTTGTTTGAAAAAAAAATCGGTAGCTCTAGAATAAAATTCATAAGGTCTCTTAACAATTTTTTTCAAACCCTTTCCCCTTACTGATATTTGCCAAACGATCCCATCCCTGAAAAATACTTTACCACTTCCTTACTGACCCCAGCAAAAAAAATGATAAATCGGTGCCAGTGAGATACGCGAGGACTATAATAATGCGTAATATAAGGTTGTATTAAAAATAAAAATCATGAGGAAAAGAAAATTCAGTGACCTTTTTAAACATGTCTTTATGCGTTACGGAGTTTACGCTACGCGCGATCAACCACGAATCACTGCTGTTAAGAATACATTATATGTTGTATATTATATATAAATTAATATCGAAGTGTAACGATTGACTCTGTTAGGCGCCGGTCCACCGCTTTGTATCATAGTTGACAAAAATTATGAGGTAACAAATTAAAAGAACAATTTTCTGTTCGTTTCTTTCCTGTACGATACTGTATATCACTCGCGAGGAAGATAATATTCCATATAAGAAGAATCGCCTACGTGTGTTTGTGCAGATGCACGAAACCTTTATGGAGATGAATAAAAACAGGAAAAAAATGAGGTGGGGTAAAATGAATTGGAGCATGGAAACCTGAAGATTAATATGGCAATCGTCATGGATATATTTTATAGATGAAAAATTTGAGATAAAAAAATGATATATTTATGAGAAATAATTGATATGTGATATATAGGGGATAAGGCACGCAAAAACGCCCCTTGCAAATGCTTTATAACAAATGCATTCTACAATCGTTTCATTAAATCCGATTCAAAGTGAAATTATGGCTCTATTTATTTGTGTTATTTCCCCAAAAATGAATTTATTTATCGATGAACGGGTGAGTATCTGTATGTGCCTATTTTAAGCAATGAGACGAATGAAATTTCGTAAGAGAATTATTATTATTTTCTTTTCCTCATATTTTATACAGCTTCGTTCCCTTTTCCCCATTTAATCTCTTGTATTCCATTCACCGAAGACCGAGTAAAAACCTCAATTTCATTTAAAAAAATCTAAATACATTTGTATATTTAGAGGTATACCTATACGTAACTATAAATATAACTATACCTATACTATAGCTACAATTAAACCTATACCTAAATTAACCCTTAAGGATATTTATCAAAAATCGCAAGTATTCAAAAAAAATTGATTTTTTTTCAACTGAGAGATGAAGTTATTCCCTTTATCTTGATAAAAAATTCAATCGACCAACCCACGTTTATTATTTACAAATGAAATGGACAAAATGCGCCAAACGCATGCGCTAACAAGTGCTTATATGGGATAGAATCTTTCAAATATTTCCTCTTTTTGCGCGGGTACCCCAAATTTTTTGGTGGTCATTCGATTCAGTATAGTTTTGCACATTACTTTCTATTTTTATTTCTATTTTTAGAGTCTTATAGTAGGTCAATTATAAATTTCAACATAAATCCATAAGAGCCCGTGTATAGGGAAAAATTTGTTTATTTATTTCTGGCGAGACTATTGCGATTAATTTTTTTTAATATGAAAGAAGTTAGTTTCATATGTTCTGCTTTCAACCAGATAAATTCTATAATTTTTCTGGAACATAAAAAAATAAGATTTGCTGAAAATAGCTAAACAGCTTCTCTAGAGTCTCACTCGCTCTACAATGACGTCCTATAAGTTCCGTGTGATTTAGTGGGGATTCCCTCGCATTGCGACCACTTAAGGGACACCCCTACACGGAGAGAAAAAATCAATAAAAATTACCAGAAAAAAGTAAAAATTACGTTTCGAAACGTAATTCATGAGCGAAGTAAAATTCAATAAAAAGGGTGAGTCGGAACTGAAATTGTACGAATTGTCACATAAATTCTATGGTTTGTTTCGTAAAAATTAACTACCCATCTGATGACTCACCGCTGTGGGGACAATAAGTCGTTCCGTAATTTTTCCCCAACGATTGAGAAATTTTACGAAACGTAACGTAGAAATAATTCACCAGCTTCATAAAAATTGTTGAACGTTCAAAAACTTTTGATTTCGGAGATATAATAAGTCGGGAAGTTTCTGTAAGATTTTACTTCTTCGGGAAAAATTCCGTAACAATTCAGTAGTGAAGCGGTAAACCGAGTTGAGTCGATTGTGACTTTTGGTTAATTTTTGATGAATATCTCGGAATCCAAAAGAGATAGCAAAATTTTTTTCACTTCCTTTTTTGTAGGATCAATTAAGAGTTATAAAAAAGGTCATGACAACAATTTTTCTATCTCTTACAGATTCCGAGATATTCATCAAAAACTGGCCAATAATCCAAATCGACTTAACCCGGTTTATCGCTTCGCTACTGAATTTCGTACTTTGTTCGGTGATGAACCTGAGAATTCACTGAACATTTCAGATTTCTTCTCTTCCATTCCTATAAAAATTGCCGGAAAACGATTCTCTATTGCGGATCACGTGAATTGTTCCGTAATTTCTATTGAATATTTCTCTCCGTATAATTTTGCCCTCTCGCAATTATATTTTTACGCAATGGCTCCTGTCTCGTCTCCTCGATAATTTTTACTAAAATATGATAGAAACTGAGACAACCAAGCTACGGTATTTGCAGTTGGTGCGTTATATAATTTGCGAATGAGGTTTTAAATGTTTAGAAGGTTTATAAATAAATGAATGCGTTGAGTCACTTGAACTATCAACTATAATACCCCAAGACCTTCAAAATTATCGAATATTTCCCGAATGTTTTGTTGCATAGCAACGAGAGGGATCACTTTTGCAGATTAAACTGCAAAGCTGATCCCGATCGTTGATATGCAGGAAAACTTGCGGGAAATATCCGATGAATTTTGAAGGTCGAGGGGTATTCGGAGGACAATTTCTTCAATTCTGATTTTGGCCGATCAGGGTGCAGTGTTCGGGGTTACGGGACACATCTCACCAAAATGTGAGGAATATCTGTCAAATTTGTAGAAAACAATTCACAGGCTACAGGGAAATTATCAGTGTGAAACGCGTCACGTGACTCCAAATACTGTACTCTGATTGGTCAAAATCAGAATTGAGGAAATTGTCCTGCTTATCAACGATCGGGATCAGTTTTGCAAAAAATCCCTCGCGCTGCGCGCTCGGGATTTTAGTCTGCAGAACTGATCCCTCTCGTTGCTATGCAACAAAACATTCGGGAAATATTCGATAATTTTGAAGGTCTTGGGGTATTATAGCTGAATATTAAAAAATGTTGGTACACAACAGCTCCGTTTACAATATAACCTAATCCATTGAAAACTACATTCAAAAGATTAAATTGAATACAATTTTCCTCCTGAGCATTTGTTTCATCTTTCACGCGCAATAACCAAAATCAATCAATTCATCAAACATTTCAAATCTACCGAAGTGGCGCTGATAGTCACTTACCATCTTCCCCGCCGCCGTCATGTCATCGATGCCGCCATTTCTATCACCAATCCATGCGCCGTGAGAAAAATAGTCCCACCACAGCCCCCCTCCCCCTTTCCACCCTAATCCATACTATCCCCCCAAAAAAAAATCGCGAAAATTTTACGAAAAAAAAGAATCTTTCAACAAAAACTCCTTCACCCCTGCAAAACCTTGAAAAATTCTCTTTCTAGAAATTTCGCGTTCCCTAAAAATTGCGAAAGTTCCGTCGCGAGGCAATGCGCGATCCCGAAGAGGACGACGATACACGAATTGAAACAAGAGCGCAGAGGATGGGATACGAAACAGGTTAACGCGCCTCTAGTGGCGACAGCTGAAACTGCAATTCGTAACGGCCGTTTGCCGAACCCACCCCGTTGGCGAAGGGGGGGCGTTGCAGGGGGGAGAAAACACAACTCTCTCGACGTACGTGAGTGGCAGTGAGTTCGGTGGCTACATGTGGATAATCCGCCGGTCGTCGTTGCGACTCCGAGTGGTGAGACACCTTTTATTACAAATAAAACTCTCAGAGGCATTGAGTTTCAACGATAAAACGATCGACAAATACATACGCAGAGCGTTCAAGTTAATACGTACACAAACGATTGATAAGTTTCATTAATTTTAGACTGATTCAGCATTACTATTTATCTTAAAACGTGCACGACAAGTAACGAGCGTCCAAAATGCAGATGGATCAGACGACGATGCAGCTGATACAGGTTTTAGAGAAGACTGTATCACCAGGTGAGATGAATTATTTATTTCAACTGCTGTTTTCCATTATTTTGAAAGAGGCGAGTGGATTTTTGAGGTTATTTTGACTATTCTCGGGGTTTGGAAGTGGCTGAATGCTAGGGAATATTCACGAATTCTGGCTAGACTACACCGGCATAACGACGGTTATGTTTCCCCCTTTGTCGTCACGTCTTTGTTCATTCAGGGCATGTGCTCCAGAAATTCAATAGTATTATTTCTCTTTTCTTTCCATTTACAATGATTCAGATTGTTCTCAACTGACTTGTCCAATTTTTTAAATGCTCATTCAGGGAGGTGAAATGCGTCATGATGTGACTCACTAATTTATTCACTTTTTCCATTTTTGGGAGTTTTTATTTATGAGGAAAAAATGTGGTTATTGTTCGGGTGGAAATTGTTATGACGTTTTGGGGGTATCGGGGGGTTTCCGGATGTAGATGGGACTTCTGGGCGGCGGGACGTGGATTTTTGGCGGGCCCTGTTGCTAAGGGGGCCTCGTGGGGCACTCCAATCAATGCATTCTACGGTGGAGCTACGTATTGCTATTTTCATGAGGGCTCTTCGGTTATTGTGACGATATTTTATCAACAAGTGACGAGAGATTAAATTGGGCGAGATTTAGTTCGTAGTTGAGGCAGTTTGGAGAGGGTGGAATACGGCTTGACATTACCTCCTGAAATCTCAGCGAGATTAATCGAGAGTTTAGTAGTGTTAAGGATATAAAAGGACTTTGACTATTTTTTCTCCAGTGAAATGCTTTTATACCCTTCTAGTTAATCATCAGAGCTTTCATTTAAGCCCCACTTGACCCCCAGTTTCCGGACATTTTACAATTATTTTGTTATTTAAACTTTGTAGGTCTGAAATTGAATGTCGATATTTAAACGTTAGAAAACATTTCAGTAGCGAAGTAGTAAAACGGTTTAAGTTGACTCAGCTCTCATCTGAGTTTTTGAGGAATATCTCCGAAGCTAAGGCAGATAACGAAATTTGTATAATAACCTTTTTTGTAGAGCGAATTGAATGCTATAGAAAAGGTCCTGTCAAAAATTTTGCTATTTCCCTTAGATTCTGAGATATTCATTGAAAACTGGAAAATAGTAACAATCGACTCAAACCGTTTTACCACTTCGCTACTGATTCAAAAAATCTGAAAAATGAATTAGAAAGTTTCTTTTTGGAGGAAGATTGATGAGACAGGGGAAGGTCGGGCAAAATGGTACATGTTTAGATCTCTTCCAATTGTCAATATCTTCATTTATAAGTTAAGATATTGACAATTAGAGAAAATCACGAAACGTCCCATTTTGCCCGACTCTCTCCTAATTAAATAAAAAATTGCAATTTTTGAAAATTACGAGCACTTTCTGTAAATAATTGATGAACAATCAATTTTCCACCATAAAAATCATTTTTTGGAATCGTAACAAATTTATTCATATTTAGAATTTTACCAGGAATCGATTTCATGCCTACAAAAATCAGGTTTCCGAAAGTTTAAATTATTTCACTTATTCATTTATAAACAATGAATGTTTTCAAAAATAATAACTTTGTCCAAAATGTCAAGGATGTTTTAATTAGCAAAGAAAAATTATTTGAAGTGAAAATAACAAAACAAAGAATAATCAAATGAAGTAATAATTGAATGCAGCCGAAACCCCTAATTTCTGGACGACCGAGCCATATTTTTTTTATTTATTAAATGTCCATCAATAGAAAAAATAATTGATCACATGATTATACATGAGTAACATTATTGAAAGATGAAATAATTTGTACAATTTTCATTTTATTTATGGACTATTCAATGTAAGTTGAAATCGTCCAGGAACTAACCCCCATCGAGAAATTGACCTGTTTACCCTATTGAAAATTCAGTTCAATGTAATATTCAATGGTCACGATGAGTTTGCTAATTTGAGCTGTTCTTGAAATATGAACGATCACCGCAACATGAAAAATTAATTTTGTTGAATTTTCAAGACAAATGGGAAATTCCATAAACTATTTCATCCCGAATTGAATTCAAATTCACAACATTGAAAATTTGAATGCAGCTATTACTTGAATTTCCAACAGTGTAACTTATCTCGTATACTGACTTCGAGATTAGTTTTTGCAAGGTAACCCAAAATGTAAGAGAAATTTGCGTGATAAAAATGTTTCGTGCTTCACCTTCTTTCTGCACAAGAGCTCCTCGCAAAAATTCCCCATCTCCCTCAGAATCAAAGTTCTTCTAGTGATGACGTTGTAAAACAAACTAAATCAATTCTACCCCACCATCAGTGTCGTAGAACATCCAGGAAACTCGAAGAGATAAAAAAATTTCCGAGAATCCCTTTTATAGAGAAAGATGATAGCCACAAAAGAGTATGCACAAAAATTTTGCTCTCTTTTTTAGTTCAAAAAATAGGGGAGGGTCGGGCAAAACGGGAACATTTGACATTTTTTTAAAATGTTAATAACTTGGAAATAATTTTGATTAATTGGGCTCAGTCTGGAGTCATTACAATGAGGTGGCGTTGTACTTCATAACGAAGAAAAAATTATTTTCTTTCATCGATCGTTCGATGAATTATTAACATCTCAAAAAAAATTCAAAAGTTTTCATGACCCCCCTCCCCTACGCCTCGAAAACTAAAAATTTATGAAAAACTTGGTAATTGAGAGGTAATAAATTCTCTTAAATCTGTCATTTTTTAAAGTAGTTGTCCTATTGCAAATTAATGAATTCTTCATCATCAACATTTTCATCAACTATTTATGCCCTTTTGTACATGAATTCCGTTTTGCGTACATGAGGTTCATACATATCACTCTCATCAGCTATAGAAGAAAAAAACAATTCAAAGATTCATACAAAACCAATGGATTTGTTCCCTCTTAATGCCTCATCTCAATTTGATCAGTTTGCAACTCAAAAAAATCACTGTTAAAACATATTGTATCCCGTCTTTATTCATTTACTTGTACCTTTTGATGGTTTGACTTATCGTTGGTTATTATTAATCTCATTCAATATTTCACGTCAAGATTAGGATGAACACAAGGTCAATAAGCACGCACTGTATTAATTAAACTTCATATCAGTAGTGAAGTGGTAAAACGGTTCAGGTCGATTTTTACTATTGGTCAATTTTCAATGAATATCTCGGAATTGAAGGCAGATACCAAAATTTTTCTCATAACCTTTTTTGTAGAGCGCATTGAGATCTACGAAAAATGAAATCATAAAAATTTCGCTATCTCTTTTAGATTCGAAAATATTCCTCAAAAACTCAGTTGAGAGCCAAGTCGACTTGAATCGTTTTACTGCTTCGCTACTGGTATAATCAACGAATTATCTGTTAATTTTAAATAGTCGCGAAGGTTGACATATCAATGAATAAAGCGTAATTAACAAAACGGAGAGTTTGAACCTGCAATTATTTCTTGAAGTTTAAACGTCCCGTGACTAGGGTAAACAGGTTAATTTCTGGACGGCGGTTAGTTCTTGGACGATTTCACTTTGCATTAAATATTCTATAAATAAAATGAAAATTGTACTGATTATCTCACCTTTCAATAATATTACTTCTGTCTAATCATGTGATCAATTATTTTTTCTATTGATCGATATTTAATAAGTAAAAAAAACGTATAGCCCAGTCGTCCAGAAATGAAGGGTTTCGGCTGCATTCAACTATTTCTTAACTTTGATATTCTTTGTTTTGTTATTTTCATTTCAAATCATTTTTTTTGCCACTGCTAATTAAAACATTCTTGAAGGACCCCCACCCCATTCTGCCCGTAATAAGTTCGCTGAAAAATGGCCGTCAATCAGTGACATTTCAACAAGTGACTCTCAAATTTTATAATCTTTACGGTCGATTCCCACTATTAAGGAAAAATTTCTAATGAAGAGACATAACGGCCATTTTTTTTCTCCATCGAATTTTATAACCTTTACAATCGACTCCCGCTATTAAAGAAAAAATTCCAATTAAAAGGGATAACCCCCCTTTTTTTCGACATTATCCACCTCCTAATAAACGAAACGTCCCGATTAAAAGGGCTAACGGCCCGTAAAACTTGGAAGTTGGACGGCCTCGAAAACATAGAACATAGAAACATTCTTGAAGGTATGGAAGCCATCATATCCCCATTTAGGTGATTCTTTTATTTTAGATACTACCACGAAACTCGAATTTGCCTTTAGGAGGATACGTCGGTGAAATGTAAAAAGTCTTCACTGGGTCGTGGGACTCATTGAACAGTTTGTGATATATGACGAAATATGGGAATAACTAGTGAAAATCGCTACGAAATATGGGAATAACTAGGGAAAATCGCGACGAAATATGGGAATAACTAGGGAAAATGTTCGTTACACTCCAAAGAATAAAGTTAAGCAACCGGTTTACTTCTTTCGCAATAGATTATGAGTAAATGAATTTTGAATTTCATAAATTTCACTCTACTCTAGACACGCGAAAAATTTATGAAATTCAAAATTCATTTGAACGAATGCTTAACTTTATTCTTTGGAGTATAACGAACATTTAAAAAAAAAGCTAAAATCGTATGAAAACTACGGCGCAAGGAGCATTTTGAATGTAAAAACAGGAAAAAATGAAGTTTTTCGTGGTTATACACTGAGAACAATAAAGTTTTTGGAGAAATACATCTTTACTTATATCAAGAAACTGGCCACTTGAAAATTTTCAAGAGCAAAATATCTTGCACTGACAGAAAACTTTCGTCAATAAATTTTGTACTTGTCCTAAAGACGAGGACAATTTCTTGGTGACAAGAAAATAATTTCTCAAACCAAGTAAAACTGAATTAATTCATTTAATAGTTTGTTAGCCTCAATTTTAAAATATTGTTGTGCAAAAACCACTTGAACTGATTTGAGAACTCGTTTTCTTGATATGAACCAATTGCTCTTATCTTTCGGATAAGTATAAAATTTCTTGACGTAAGATTTTTTATTCATAGTGTGAGATATTGTGCGCTTGGTAATTTTCGAGCCATGAATTTCATGGCACAAGTAAAGCCGGACTTCTCAGAAACACTTGACTTCTCAGTATACGGAGCAAAATCGATCGGGTCCGCGATTTTCTCTAGTTATTCCATCATATATCACAAACTGTTCAATGGGTTCCAAGGCCCAGTGAGGACTTGTAAATTTCACCGACGTATCCCTTTAGCCGTCCAGCAATTGGCTCATCCACCCCAGGCATCAGAACAATCATCAATTTCAAAATAACTTTAATTTATTTTCTGTTAACTGATAATATTACCCAACAATTTTCAATTACCAAATTAATCATCAGTAGAATATTCAAATTCCGAAATAATCTATCAACCAGTAATGATGTCTGAAGCTTCACCATTGCATGTCTGATTGAAAAATCCTCTTATAAAATTTAGAATCATTTACTCAATAGTTAATCGAAAATTTAAATTATGAACTATTTTAATATGTTCAAATTTCAAGTAAGATAGTAAAATCATAGTAATAGAAAGGTGCAAATTCTAATAATATTGCAAAATATTACAAATATAATGATTGTCGACTGATCGCTGGTTTACCCTAGTCGATTCTTCTAAAACTTCGAATTCTATCATCTGATTCAATCAGTCACACTCATGCTATGCTATCCCTGACATCTGACGCCCAACCAGCATCACCTTAACTGCCATTTCATCACATCACTACATACCTATTAATTTCCTTTCAGACAAAAATGAGTTGGAGGCAGCGAAGAACTTCCTGGAGCAAGCGGCCCTCACGAATATTGTGAGTAAATCTCCCAGAACCTCTGCGACCCCCCCAAACCAAGCCCTCTAACATTCTTTCCCTTCCAGCATGAATTCCTCCAACGTCTGTCAGGCGTGCTGGGCACGACAGCAGCGAGCACAGTGGCGCGCATGGCCGCAGGTCTCCAACTGAAGAACCAGCTCACCTCCAAAGACCCAGCCGTAAAAGCCCAATTCCAACAGCGATGGCTGGCAATTCCCGTCGAAACCCGAGAATACATAAAGAAAAACATCCTAGGAGCCTTGGGTACCGAGACCAACCGTCCCAGTTCAGCAGCCCAATGTGTCGCCTACGTAGCTGTAGCCGAGCTTCCAGTGAATCAGTGGACAGACCTCATTCCCCTTCTCGTCAGCAACATAGCAGACCAGAACAGCACCGAAATGATGAAGGAAGCAACCCTCGAGACGATCGGTTACATCTGCCAAGAGATCGACAGCGAAGTCCTCGTATCCCAATCAAATCAGATCCTCACTGCCATTATTCACGGAATGAAAGGCTCCAGCACCTCGAACCACGTGAAACTAGCAGCGACAAGAGCCCTCTACAACTCTTTAGAATTCACGAAAGGAAACTTTGAGATTGAGTCAGAGAGAAATTTCATAATGGAGGTTGTCTGTGAAACAACTCAGTCCACCAACACACAGATACGAGTGGCAGCCCTGCAATGTCTCGTGAAGATCATGTCCCTTTACTACCAATTTATGGAGCCCTACATGGGCCCTGCACTCTTTCCAATAACTCTAGAAGCGATGAGATCAGACAGCGATGAAGTGGCTCTCCAGGGTATCGAGTTCTGGTCGAATGTAGCTGATGAAGAAGTAGATTTATCCATGGCTGAGGGTGAAGCCTCTGAGGGAGGTCGTCCGCCTTCAAAAGTATCTCGTCATTATGCCAAAGGTGCACTGGTGTACCTCGTCCCAGTTTTGATACAGAAGCTAACGAAGCAGGAGGAGTTCGACGATGAAGACGACTGGAACCCCTCAAAGTCAGCTGGAGTTTGCTTGATGCTTCTAGCGTCTTGCTGTGAGGAGAGCATAGTCCCTCACGTACTTCCCTTCGTCAAGGAGAACATAAAGAACCCAGACTGGAGGTACAGAGACGCAGCTCTGATGGCTTTCGGATCAATCCTTGGGGGGCTGGAGCCAGCAACACTTAAACCTCTTGTTGAGCAAGCCATGCCGACCCTGATCGAGCTGATGTACGACGTGAGTGTTGTGGTAAGGGACACGGCGGCCTGGACCTTCGGCAGAATCTGCGAAATCATTCCTGAGGCTGCGATAAACCCAACTTACTTGAAGCCTCTACTGGAATCTCTAGCGAATGGCCTCAATGCTGAGCCCAGAGTGGCTGCAAACGTTTGCTGGGCCTTCACAGGCCTAGCTGAAGCTAGCTACGAGTCTGCTGAGGCTGGGGATGACGAGCAGCCTGAGACGTACTGCATGTCAATGTTTTTTGATTACATCGTTCAGAGACTGCTGGAGACGACTGACAGGGTTGATGGGGCACAAGCGAATCTTCGGTCAGCTGCTTACGAAGCACTGATGGAGATGGTGAAGAACTCGCCTAAGGACTGTTATGTTACCGTTCAGAAGACGACGATGGTGATACTGGAGAGACTTCAGCAGGTCCTGCAGATGGAGACTCACTTCCAGAATCACTCTGACAGGGCTCAGTACCATGATCTCCAGTCACTCTTGTGTGCAACACTCCAGTCTGTTTTGAGGAAAGTCACCCCTGAGGATGCACCAAGGATCTCTGATGCTATCATGAATGCTTTGTTATCGATGTTCAGTTCGAACTCTGGAAAGGTTGGGGGTGTGCAGGAGGATGCGCTCATGGCAGTGTCCACATTGGTCGAGGGCCTTGGGGACGGTTTCCTCAAATACATGGATGCTTTCAAGCCATTCTTGTGTCTTGGGTTGAAGAATCATGCTGAGTACCAGGTCTGCGGAGCTGCAGTTGGACTCACTGGGGATATTTGTAGGGCTTTGAAGGGGAAAATGCTGCCCTACTGCGATGAGATCATGACGCTGTTGCTGGAGAATCTGGGGAATGAGTCGGTCCATCGATCTGTGAAGCCTCAGATTCTCTCGGTCTTTGGAGATGTGGCTCTCAGTATTGGGCCGGAGTTCAAGAAGTACCTCGATGTGGTACTCCAGACATTGGCGCAGGCCTCTCAGGCCAATGTCGACAGAACTGATTATGATATGATTGATTATTTGAATGAGCTGAGGGCGGGCGTTCTGGAGGCGTACACAGGAATTATTCAGGGTTTCAAAGGGGAGAATGACGTCGCTGGGGCGCCCAATGCTGATGTGATGCTGTTGGAGCCGCATGTTCCATTTGTCATTCAGTTTATCACGTCTATTGCACAGGACAGGGAGCACTCGGACGAGGCCATGTCTGCTGCTATTGGGTTGCTTGGAGATCTTGTCGTCGCATTTGGAGCCAAGATGCTACCCATGGTGGAGACAGAACCTCTTACTGAGTTACTTACCAAGGGGAGGAGGGCCAGGGTCAATAAGGCCAGGGCTCTCGCTGCATGGGCCACTAAGGAAATTCGAAAGGCCAAGAATACTGCTAATTCTACGTCGAGTTGGTGAGTTGGCTTTTTTTTCTTGGGGTTTAAGGGCTGGGAGAGTCTCTGTGGGTGGTGTGTGATGTAGAACGAACGGGATGTTGGAGGGAGGGTGGGGCAGAATGAACCTTTTTAGTCGGCAGGATTATTACGTGGAGTATTTATAGGGTAGGATTGTGATATTGTCTTGGGAGTGAGATATTTTAAGGGGAATTTTTAAGGATATCCAAGCACTTTGGCCATTTTTTCTCCAGTGAAATGCTTTTCTACTTTTGTAGTCGAACATCTGAGCTTTCATTTGAGCCAGATTTGACCCTAAGCTTGCAGGTCTGAATTTGAATATAGATATTGAACCGTTTGAAAATACTTTGAAAATCTGAAAAAAAATTAGAAACTTTACTTTTGCAGGAAGATTGAGGAAATAATTGAAAAATTGCAATTTTGGAAAATTACGAGCAGTTTCTATAAATCATTTATAAACAATAAATTTTCCACCGTAAAAATCATTTGTTTGCAATAGTAACAAATTTATTCATATTCAGAATTTTACCAGAAATCTATTTCATGTCTAAAAAAATTGGGTTTCTGAAAATTTAAACGATTTCAATTATTTATTTATAAACAACGAATGTTTAAAAAATGATGATTCTGTGCAAAATGTAATTTTAATAACGCCGCATATTCCTGATTTTTTTCAAATTTTCCTCAAGAAATTTAATTGACAAATTTGATGATTGAAATGGCTAAATCTGTAGTGTGGTCTGTATCAAACTGTAAAAGATATACTTGGATATCGTTAGAGATGTTTATCCAAAACCACGAGCATTAAAAAAATTTTGGATTTTTTTTACACTGAAACAGGATTGTCTCCTTTTTGTTGATGAAAATTGAATCCACCACTTCGAGTTGATTTTCCAGAAATAAAATATACAATATGCACCGATGCAGACGTTAGCATTGAGTTATAGAGGCCTTAAAGCTCTGATTATCCCCATTATTGAATTTCGTATTTTTTTCACGTAGCCACGTGTTTTTATTTTCAGTCTTTGAGTCTTCCAGTAGATAAATTGTCAATTTAAATATGAATTCCATAAAAGCCCACGTATAAAAAGAAATTTGTTCTTTTCATTTCCTGAAAACTACTGCAACTAATTTCTCTCAATTGTCAAAAATGACCTTTTCCTATGTTCCTCATGAGCCTGACAAATTGCAGAATTTTCCTCGAACATGAAAAAATTAGATTTTCAGGAATGAATGAACATTCTCAAGGGCCCATGGGATAAATTGGCTCCAATTATTTCCTAGCTCATTCGTTTTTCTCAGAAAAAGACGAATCGGTCCGAAAATAATGGAAATCAGATTTGTTCTGTCTGAATACATTCAAAGGCCTCTCAAAAAAATCTGTAGTAGAGAATATTTTATGCTGAAAAGGAGTTCAATATTCTGTTCTAAAATCACTAGTCCTCAACATAGATTGGGTATATTTTTTTCCAAGTGAGATTAGAGAAGTTTTATGGGGAAAGTTGTGTCGATAAAAGTTTTGATAAGTATTTTGCATATTTTATTGGTATCTGAGATGTTTTCAGAAAAATGACATGGAAAAGAGATTGAATTCTCGATTCTTCCCAGTTTACCTGTGAAGTGTAAATAGGCCCCCTGAAGGTTCATTCTGTCACGCTCTTCTCTCTGTAATTTTTCTGTGATTCAATATATTGATGACTTTTTTAAACGGAAAAAACTTGAATGATTCGGGATCATACTCTCTCAATGTCTACAAATTTTTAATCTCTCGTCCTCACATATAAAACTAAAAATTTGCATTCCAATTATTTGAAACATTGAGCTTGAAAGAATGGAAGAGGAATTAGTAAATTGAAATAACGGTACGTTAATCGCGATTCACTGAGACCTTGAATATTTTGCATTCGAAATTCTCTATATACTGAAGTGAACTAAAAGATAAAAATATCTATCTCAAACAAGCCTCGGGTGAATCGAAAAAATCGCAAGTTGAGAATTACCAAAATAGAAATTGTTTCATTTGAATACATGAAAGTTCAAACAAGAATAATCATTCTGCTTTCAACAACGAAATATTTGACCCAAGAGGCAGATCGATCGTTCACTGTTCAGGGTTAAAATATCTTACACAAAGTGACGTTAATCACGAAACATTTTATTCCTAAATACAGGTTTACTATCATATAATCATTTCATTATTATTCTATTCAAGAAATCATTTCCGATCTTCGAGTATTGGATAGCCGAAGTGAAAAACAATTCTTCCTTGTTTCGCATAAAAACAACATTTTTGAAGGGCAAAATATATAATATTTGGTGGTATAAAACAACGAATACATAGTTTGAGAAATGAGATTTTTTTCATGTACAGAAAATTGAAATTTTTTGAACCAACTGAAACTCAAATTATTGAATTAGACTTTTTTGTCTATTTTACGGCAAAAATTTTAATCTCACTACATTCTAACTTTCAACTTGCGATTTTTTTGGGTCAAACAAGAATTGTTGAGACAATGGTGTTTTTGATGGAGCAATTCTCTGTCTCAAGAATATATAGACTCAGGCAATTGTCAAATATTCTCAATTATTATTACTAGGCATGTCTATATTCCCAATTTAACAATAGAAATCTCATTTCTCACTGAAATTTCTCGCATTAACATTTTTAATCGACGGAACCATTGGAAATTCCGATAACAATGGGACTAAACTCACCCGAAACCCCGACTTGACCTCCCGAAATTGAAAAAATCCCAAAATTCTTACCTCAGAACACCGTTTTCCGCCTTTGAAACGCTCGTTAATTACACCTCGCCCGCTTTTGTTTGCAGATCACCCCACGAATGTACTCTCGTGCAAATTGATTTGACTAGAAACCTATCGAACACAATACAAAGACAACAAGATTGGATGGTGCGGATGCGAGTAGATGGATGTGCGTGAGATTTTCCCAGTAAAAAAGCGAGAGAGAAAGAGAGAGCGAGAGAGAGACAGAGACAGAAAAAAAACACAAAAAAATGCAAAAATGGATGATGAGGATGAGGAATACGAGGTGATGAGAGAAATGGTGATTTATTGATGATGATGATGATGATGAGTCTGCACGTGTTCTCCCTCTGGGCCCTTCCCCCAAGAAGTGTGTGTTGCGTCAGAAACTGAAAGAAATAAATGAGTAAACAATTTAATGAGGGAGGAACTGTGGTCCACTGCTGATTGGATGGCCGACGACGGATGAAGGATACAATTGAGTGCAAGTCGATAATGTTGCCAAATAAGTGAATGAGAAAAAGAGAAAAAAAATAAACGAAAAATGATAAACCATACACGAGAATACAAGAGAGCCCTGTCTAAAAGAGGTCTGGTGATACGAGTGTGCCTGAAAAAAGTAAAAAAAAAAATAGAAAAATTGCAGAGACTAATAAGTGAGACATTAATAAATAATTAACTGCTGATTAGACTGTGTACTTATCACCGTCAATGCAGAATCGTCGGCGCGTGAGCTGGGTTTATGCGTGTGATCACCTCAGAGCCGAATGAGTGCGACTGAGTTCTGTGTGATATCGATTATCTGATTTTTCTCTTTAGCATATGCGATTTTGACGAACTTTACTTTTTTTTTTCTCTTTTCACATCATTTTAGTGGTGGAGTGATAGAATGAGCTTGGTTTTTGGGATGTCTTGGAATCTGAGGGGGATAAAGATTTAAAAACTCTTGAGTAATTTTTTGTGGAGAAAAATTATCGAAAAAAGTTCGTTTGAAAATTCATTAATTTTTATTTAATTTAGAGATAACAATTTTTTATGGATCAAAATTTTTATAATTCTCAGTTTCCCCACGAAGAAAGCCGACAAGAGAATTGTCTCCTTGAGAGTCGAGGATATTCAGCAAAGCGTATGTTTTACCACTGCTCTACAGATTTTTTCTTTTCATTGATCAAAGGAAACAATTGAATTGTTCGATTCTAAATGATTTTTAGTTTGAAATAATAGTTTTCTTTTCTTCATCGAAATTCCTGCGCGGCTGGCGGCGAATGAAGTGTGATTGAACTACTGAAAAAAATAGGGATAAACCATTTTTTTGAATACAAGATGAAGATAAAATGTGATGATTATTGTATGTTAGATGTTGTAAGGGAATTTATGAATGCATGATACTAGTTTATATGCTAAGAGACATGAATGAATGATTGTATGAAAGACTATTGGTTGAATAAAGTTGTAAATGAGAAATACAAAATTGTGTGGGTGTTATATTTTTTTTCATAATGGTCTGAATGATCCGTTAATTGTTGATTCATTGAAATTAATGTTTTGATGATATTAATAATTTATTTAGTCTGTTCTGTATGCAAACGAATCACCGTAATTTCCCAAATTGTTTTTTTGTGTTCACGAAATTAGAATATCCTGATGATTTTTTACCAATGATTCCATATGTCTGTTTTTTATCCATAAATCCCTGTAATTTCCATCCATTATGCGTTTTTAGATGGTCTTTAGACAACTATATTTTTCATTTATCAACAAGATGAGATTGGAGAAAATTTTGTCTTACCAGATCTAGAGATGAGTTGAAAAATTATGTGGAGATTATTTTGTAAATATCCTGGAAAGGGATGGGTTCAGAGAACAATATCAGGAATCCTTTTTTATAGGAATGAAATTGTAAAGATCTTTCGGTGATTGTTTTTTTTATCTATTACGCGAAAATGTGAGAAAACATTCGGTGACATTTTTTATCACCGACATTTTCTCGACAAAATGACCTATTACACACAACGAGTTTCCTTCATTTTGTACACATTTGACCTTTTTCATTAGGGGGAGACTACTATGAATTTTAAAAGCCGCGGGCTATTAGAATGAGATTTCTCATACATTGAAGATCGATTAATATGCAGGTCTAAAAACAAATAATTAGTGAAAAAAATTGATTGTTTATTGTTCGTTTGCGTCGTAGACGCTTACAATGTTAAAAATAGTACAGGGCCTCCAATTTTTGAGCTACAGAGTTTTTTCTCAAAATAGAAAAAAAAGGTGTGCCACAACCATTACGAATTAGTATTTTCAAATTTAACTCCAACGCAGCTAAATTCGTTTTTTTTTTCAATAAAAAATTGTACCATTCAATTAACATAACCCGAAAAATTATTCGGATTTGTTCGATTTTGATTTATTAAACGTCAAAATTTTCCATTTTTTGCCGCCTATACAGCTATTTTTAGTAAATTTTGTTTTTCGATTCCTAGATGCTCATAATAAGAAATTTTCGAGAAAAAAAATTGAAAAACTTGAATTTTGCAAATTACGTCCCGGTTGATTAAAATTTTTATTTTTCAGTAATTTTTGGGTATCCTGGATCTATTTTATTTTTAATTTTTTCTTTTCGAAATTTCGTAAATTTAGTCAAAACACCCCAAAACGACTTCGGTTATGTATCGAAAAAATATGTAATGTATAGGTATACAGTCAATATGTATAATAATATTCAAATATGTAAAATCTGTATAATAATAATATTCAAAATTCAACTTTTTTCCGAAAATTCGTTATTATGAGCATCTAGAGATCGGAAAAAAAATTCACTGAAAGTACTTTTATAGGCAATAAAAAATGAAAAAAAATTAAAGCTTAAAAAAGTCAAAATCGGAGGGACAGAACTTGAGTTATTGGAAAAAACTGAAAAATGAAAAAAAAATCATATCTCCGAATTGGGCTGCGGAAAAAATCTGAAAAAATTTGAGAGATAGTTTTGCCATCCCCCCAATCGTACAAAAAATCGCCATCAATTTCTAAGAGGGTGTGGGTCAGCAGTTAACTCATTTGGCGTGGAATCCTTCATATATTTTAAATATTTTAGGGATAATTTTTCTGTGTATTTTAAACGAAATTAGCTGTGTAGGCATTGAATTGCAAAAAACTAATTCGTAATTGTTATTGTCCCGATTTTTTCAAAAATTAAAAACAAACTGTAGCGCACAAATTGGTGGCCATGGACTATTTTTAACATTTTAAACATTTGCAGGGTAAACGAACAATAAACAATTGATTTTTTTGCTCTAATTATTAGTTTTTAGATATATGTAATCGGTCTTCAATGCATGAGACATCTCACTCCATTAGCCCGCTACTTTAAAAACTCATAGTAGTCTACAGCAATTGTTATCCTCACAGTCTAATTACATAATATACACAATGAATTCTACTACATTGACATGCACCAATCCACTTGTACATTGTCCTCTCTGCATTCCACAATGTTGTTTAATTTGTTGTGGGCAATTTATCAGGTAACAGGGAAAAACTTGAGAATAATTCGAGTACTAGCTCGAGAAGATGAGCGCAAGTTGACAGCCAGGGCAAAATTCTAGAGCTGGACTGGAAATTGTATTGGGCTGGATGTTAATTTTTTCTGTATATAGGGGATATTTTCTCAGAAATCTCCAGAAATTTTATTTAACAGCACTTGAATTTTTCATAAACGGTGGATTTTGCCCGTTCTTTCGTTCTAGGACTAGATTTTTTCCGAAGAGTTTGTTTTTGATGACGACCACAAGGCAACTGCGCGTGAACATAGCAGCAGTGTCAAAAAAGTTTTTTTGCACTCATTACGAAATATACTATTTCATCACGCTGTGTGAAAAAGTAACTTTTTAAACGTCCCTTTCCCATACATTGTGATGCAAAATATCGCTCGATACTCGTGGGAAAAGTGTTTTTTGGCTCGTGGGAGGTTTATGGTACGAGCCGAAGGCGAGTGATAAACCATTATTATTCTTATTATAAACACTTTTCCCACGAGTATCGAACGATATTTTTCATTACAATGTGTGGAAAAGGGACGTTTAAAAAGTTACTTTTCGTGTCACGGGACCTGAAAAACCCCATTTTCGTGGCGCTGCGCGCCATGCAATTGCCGTTTTGCAGGTCCCTCGACACGAAAATTAATATACACACCTCGCCATGGAAAAAATATCACCCTCGCCTTCGGCTCGGAAGGCAATCTTGCACGTGGGGGACGGTGATCTGTTTTCCAAGGCTCGGGCATGTAATGTACTATTTCATCACTGCGTCCCGCTAACCTGCACCTATCGGCCTATTCTGCAGCCGATAGGTGGCGATTAGCAGCCATGGACTTGATAAAGAGGAACGGCTGACTTCATGTCGCGCTTTAGCGCTCCCAGGAGTGCTAACTGCGGTTAGCCCTCCTAGACTCGTTAAATATCCAACCTCAAACCAGCTATTTCACACTGCCCCTGTTCCTCATTCCTCTGTCTTGTTCTTTATGCTTTCCATACATTCACCATCGAAAATTTTCTGTTATCCAATTTTCATTAGAATCATCCTCTTAAACAGAGAATTTCCGATTCACTCATTATTATCACTTTTCACGTTTGTTCTGGTTTTTCATTCAGTTAGGAGAAGCGAAGGGGAGGTGGGCTCCATAAAAAATTTGAGAAATTTGTATCCAAGAATGAAGAAATGAAAAATCTATGGGCTTTTTTCTATTAAATATTCTTTTAGGAATACGAGATGGTAAAATTGCATGATCTCCGATAGAATTAGCACAACAAATCAATAGCATTTTCACAAAACTCCAATAGAGTTTTTCAAGGGTTCCAATACGAATTCAATAGAATTTTTCTATGGAAATACTAGTTTTTTGTAGTATTTTTCTTATACCTAACAAAGAGTACAAATTACTTCAATTTTTATTTTATTTTTCTTTTGTGAATTTTTTTTTTCAGTGGGGGGCCCCCCCCCCCCCCCCAACCCCCTACCGGGGGCTTCGCCCCCTGGACCCCCTTCTCCGCTCCACGCCACCCCCTCCTTTGCGGGACTTCTTGATAAAAAAATAGATTATGTCATTCGGACGATGGTCTCGGTTTGTGAGTCGTGTGAATTTGCAGCACTCGGCATCGGTAAGCCTCGTGCAGCAAACTTCACACTTCCCACAAACCTCGACCTATCGTCCTTATGACATAATCTACTATTTTCGCACAGTATGATGAAAAATACTGTCCGATACACGGCCGTGGAGAACTTTTCTACCTCATATCATTACAGAACTCGTCTTCGGCCCGTCCGGTAAACTCATATTCCCTAGAAAATTTCCTCACATCCTAGTGGCGAAATGTCCTATTTTCAGCCTAATGACGAAATATACTTTTGTGTTACTAGTGCGTAAAATTCCACCTTTTCTCGCGCACGTGTACCACATCCTATTTTTTGTGATACCTGTTGATTATTGGGAACGGGAGTGGGGGTAAAGTCGTTGTTTTTGTATACGAATGCGGAAAATCCCACTCCTACGCGTGCGGCAGGTATCGCAAAAATGAAAATTTCATCCCTCGTGCGTAAAGTGAAATTTTTAACACACTCCTCACATTGTAATTCCACTGTTGTGTGGAAATTCCACTTTCCAGACATTGTGATGGAAAAGAGGGTCCGACACGCGTGGAAAAAGTGTTCTTTGACACTTGGGAGGGTGCACCTCCACTGAGAAAAAAAATTATTTTGTCCAAATATTCATTTACTTGAGAGAAGCATTTATTTTTTCAAAAGTGTATTTCTCCAATCGAATCACTCCAAGGCAAGCCTGATTAGGTTTTAATTATGACAATCATATTGTTCTAGAGGATGATTATGTTGCACATGACCTTAGATGAACTCCTCCAATGATTATTCATTTTTCCTAAATTTCTTATTTTCTACAGGGAAGAATTTCGATCAATTTTTTAACGTTTATAATCATTGAGGGAGTTTATTCAAAGTCATAACTAACATGAGCAATGTAATTGTTCTAATTGAAACTCAATGATAATTGCCCGGAAATGATTCGGCCGGAGAAATACGATATTGAAAAAGTAAATAGTTCTCAAGTAAATGGATTTTTGGCAAAGATATTTTTTTTTCTCAGTGTCCCACGAGACAAAAAACACGCACTCGTATTGAAATACACTATTTCCAAATTACCATCGTGTAAAAAGGCATGTGCATGATTTCATGTTTAGAAAGACTTTCCGATCCAACTTTTTTCGGATCATTAACAATACTGTCATTATCAAGATAATTCTACAGTTATTGAATCTTTTAAGCCGACTAGTTTCTGAGATGAAAAATAAATAGTCTCCATATCGTTTTGTTCATCCATCTCTAGACAATGATATTTTTACAATTATTCAGTTTAAAAAATTACATGTGTGGAGGGAAATTCAGTCTGAAAACCGGTGTGTT